CCACATCCCCCCACCCCCCCAATTTTTTTCCTCTCCCAGGTGAACGGCACGATGGTGACCAACAGCTCTCACCTGGAGGTGGTGAAGTTAATCAAGTGTGAGTATGGCCAGGGGGGGTTGGCACCTCCTGGGGGGGCAACCAGTAGCCCCGGGGGGGCAACCAGTAGCCCTGGTCCCCCCTCAGATCCTGGCTGCTCTCCTCAGCCACCCAGCTCCATCATGTTCAGGACATTTGGGACATTGGTGGCCCCCCCAGGGTGACAATCTGCCCCATAGCAGGACCTAAAAAATGAAATGAGTGTCCAGGGGGGGCAACCAGTAGCCCTGGGGGGGCAACCAGTAGCCACGGGGGGGCAACCAGTAGCCCTGGTCCCCCCCCAGGTCCTGGGTGCTCTCCTCAGCCACCCCAATGTCCCACATTTGGGACATTGGTGACCCCCCCAGGGTGACAATCTGCCCCATAGCAGGACCCTAAAACATCAAATGAGCGTTTCCAGCCTCAGCCACGAGCCTCGCAGCTCCAGGGGGGGCAATCAATAGCCCTGGGGGGGCAACCAGTAGCCCTGGTGTCCCCCCAGGTCCCAGCTGCTCTCCCTGGCCACCCCAATGTCCCACATTTGGGACATTGGTGGCCCCCCCAGGGTGACAATCTGCCCCACAGCAGGACCCTAACAAATGAAATGAGTGTCCAGGGGGGGCAACCAGTAGCCCTGGGGGGGCAACCAGTAGCCCTGGTCCCCCCCCCAGGTCCCAGCTTCTCTCCCTGGCCACCCAGCCCCATTTTGTTCATTGGGGACATCGGTGGCCCCCCCAGGGTGACAACCTGCCCCACAGCAGGGCCCTAAAACATCAAATGAGTGTTTCCAGCCTCAGCCACGAGCCTCGTAGCCCTGGGGGGGCAACCAGTAGCCCCGGGGGGGGCAACCAGTAGCCCTGGTCCCCCCCAGGTCCCAGCTGCTCTCCCCGGCCACCCCAATGTCCCACATTAGGGACATTGGTGGCCCCCCCAGGGTGACAATCTGCCCCACAGCAGGGCTCTAAAAAATCAAATTAGTGTTTCTAAAAAATCAAGTGAGCGTTTCCAGGCTCAGCCACAAGCCTCACAGCTCCAGGGGGGGCAACCAGTAGCCCCGGGGGGGCAACCAGTAGCCCTGGTCCCTTATGGGGAGGTGCCCCCCCCCC